TTTTGGAAGAAGTGCAGCCAGAGTGCTCCTTAGAAGCCAAGATGGCCAAACTTTGTCTCTCATACTTTGGACATATTGTCAGGAGGACCAGACGCTAGAGAAGGATCTCATGCTTGGTAAAATGGAGAGTCAGAGAAAAAGAGGAAGACCCCCAATGAGATGGATTGGCCAGGTGGTAGCATTGATGGACTCAAATGTGGCAACAATAGTGAGGTTGGCCCAGTATCGGACATTATTTCGTTCTGCTGTGCATAGGGTCACTATGAGTCGGTTCCGACTCGATGGCACCTAATAACAACAACAACATAATACTTCTATTTATAGTTTGTTGCTAAGTGATATGGGATTCCAAAATCAGTGACCCTGTATACGTTTCCAAGGAGCAGCTGGTGTGTTTGAACTTCCACCTTGCAATGCAAATTAACCTTGCAGTCCAGTGCCCATCATATAGCACCACACCAGGACTCCATTTATACTTTACTTGGACTTCTATGTGTTTCCACTTGTATTTTTGTACTATTGATTTAATTCTTGATGAGAAAACTGACAAAAAATATTTTTTATAAGATAGAAAGGTCTTCTCATTTCTTCCTTGATGGTAACTCAAGAAAAAAGTGTTTTCTTGACTTCCATAATCTATGCAAAGTCATTTTAAGCTTTTCAACTACAAGAAAGCATCAAAAAATTTTATACTTTAGAATGAACTTCAATGTTTACTTGATCTGAATCACTCAATTTACAGATGAGAAACTGATGTAGACATATTAAGTAACTTGCCTAAAATAACACTGTTGTGGCAAATCAGGACCAGAACCAAGGTCTCCCAACCTAAGCACCATTCCCGCCATATAACTACTTTCACCATAGATCAATTTCAATTGAGCTTTCTAATACAAATAAAAACCTCACAAGTAAGGAACTACTGAGAATATACTATTTGCAACATTTAAAGACATGGATTGTTGTAGCTGTTAGTTGCCGTTGAGGTTTGCCAGCTTTTGAAAATTATATTTAATAATTCTAAAGTAACTTATATGGAACCTGATTAGAAGTGTCAGCTCAAGAAGATATCTTTTCTTCCAATAACTACCAGATATAATTCTCAAAACTTTACCTTTATAGATTATTAAAACTATGCTGAAGAGGTTTGCAAAAGAAAAACAAATTGAAGCTATACTAAATATACTTGATAAACTATCCAGTAAAAACCTGAGACTCCTGGAAATTTACTATCTCTGTATGAAGGGCAGATTTCCATGAACACGTATATCTTCATAATCATGAAATTGCCAAAGGTGACTTTACCTGCTAGAGCCCACTCTCCTGTGCCATGGGTGTGCCCACTGTAATACAAAACATATGTATCGTGTCTAGGTCCATCCACAGTCCGAAGTTCAAGGAAAGCTTTTAGCTTGGAATGTAGATTATCAAAAGACAGTCCACTTGTGGAATAGTCACATCCATAGGTCTCAATCATATGATATGCAAAAAATCTTTGGATAGCATTGAGCATGCCAGTAGACCTGAGATTTAACTCCTGAACATGTTCTGGTGGAAGAAGTGTTGGCTGGCCATCAGGACTGAAAGAGAAGAAAGAGAGATTATCTTGGTGTTTAAGAAGCATTCATTCATTCCTTGTCACCTTCTTATCCATAATAATTGATTGATTATTTGAGAATGAATAGCTGCTACTGCCTAATTGGCAGATTTTTTAGTTATTTCAAATCATCTTTTTAAAATTCCTACATCGCTAAGAATTGAGCTGGGAAAAATCAGCACCTGCTTTCTAAAAATTGTATTTCTTATCAATAAAATAACAATCAAATTAAAAGCAGGGAGAATAGAAGTGAAATGATATATAATAGGATGAATGTAAAACTAATGTTCTCCCATGTAAACTATCACATAATTCACAATAAAACATTGAAAAAAAAAGCAGGGAGAATATTATCTCCAAATATTGCTATTACTATTCTTTGTTCTTTAGTCATATCTTCTTAACAAATGACAAATACGGTAAAACTTTTAAAAAGTTATTATAGTAATTTTGCTCTAAAAGTTTCAAGAACAGCCAGGTGTGCACTAAATTTTTTTTTTCCACTAGAAAACTATTTAAAAATAAAATACAGACTTGGATCTTACCTTAAAAAATTCATTTACATTTTCTGATTTCTAGCTAAAATGTAAGTTAAATATTTAGTTTTACAAATTTTTATTTTATATTTAAATATTTACATTGAATCCTAAAAATTACTTAGAGTAAAGGATTTTAAAACTCTAGACCAAATGAAGAAATACAAAGCAACAGACTATTATATCTTGAAAAATGAGCTATCATATTTTATAGTAATATTCATGGAAATATGAAGAGAATTTTGAGTTCAAGCAATTATTTAACTAGATTACTGTACCTGCAGAAGTTGGTGGGAATCACAATAGCATATCCCACAGATGTTCCTCCTAAACAGCTACCCAATTCATGGAAGAGCCCATGAGCCATGGATTCCAATGGCAAAACAATGAGAAGCATACTCAAGAAGATTCCATTTGTTGGCTAAAAGAAATTTTAAATGACATGTTTAAACATGTTTGGTTTTGTGTGTACATGTGACTATATTATAGTTACACACATGTATTTACAGTGTTTACCCCAATCTCAAAGAAAGGAAAAAAGACAATGATGTAAAGATAATGATGAGCTGAAGCACTGAAACAGTCACATACACGGAGATGATCTAATTAATGAAATGAGCCCTTTATCTCTAAACTTCTTAGAAGTCACGGCAAAACAAACACAGTACATGTTTTCTTCTTTTTATTTGTCCTATAACATCTCAACCTGACTAAAAGATAAGCAAAACAAAATCATCACCTCTTTCCATAAGACAAAGAGCCAGAAAACAAATCCTTTCCTAATATAACTCGCATGTCTTAGATCATTTAAAACATACCTTTATTTAACAGAAGGAACAGAAAGGGCTCATTTGTTTTCCAATGAATTGAGAAATCCAGATATTAAGACTAAAATATTAATAGCCTAAAGCTATTAAAATGAATTCTATCATTATATTTATTTAAATTTATAATATAGTTTACTCTCAAAAAGTTCTAGTCTCTATGACTAAAGTAAAAAATTTAAAAAAAGAAAATATTAAGGACATTTAAACATTCTATGAGCAGAAACAAGTAAAGCAGAAAAAATATTAAAAGGAACCAGATGAGGTAATAATTGCAATTAAAAAAAAAAAAATTTAAAGACTTATTCAAATGAAAAGAAAATTGAAGGATGAGACTCATTCAGTTTGAATAAATATCTTTAGAAAACTAATAATATTCAACAATTTTTATGGATCATTAACAAAAATATGAGGCAGCTTCAATAAGTTCATGAAGAAATTGTATTACCCTTTAACTCCATTTTTTCATCAGCTTTTTGAAGCCCCTTCATACACTCTGCAGTCATGGCCTATGTTCATGGGCATACATTTTCGTTGCTAAAATAGGGAAGCTTTCATCTGATTGAAACTTTAATATAAAATACATCATTAACTTCTATAATGGAAAAATGGATATAGTGCCTTAGTTTGGTACCTTCTATCAAAAGCATAAATACAACACATGCTCAATTTAGAAATATCAGAAAATACAAATAAGCAAAAAAGATATGTAACTAAATCATTTCATTCAGACAAATCTATTACTAATATTTTTTAAAGAGATTTCCACATTCCATGCAATAAATATATGAAGGAGCTTTAAAAAGTTTTTTGAAAAATTCCATTATCTTATAATTCCATTTTCCAAAAATGTTTTGAAGCCTTATTGTATGTTCATTCATTATATGTCTATGTACACACACACATACACACATATAAATAGTATATATAAATTGTATGGAGTCCTGGTGTGGCACTGTAAACATTGCAAGGTCGGTGGTTCAATCCTACCAGCCACTCCTTGGGAACCCTATGCAGGATAACTATGAGTTGGAATCAACTTGATGGGACTTAAACAACAATATGCATCCATCCACCCATGTACCTACCACTTGTACATAGGAGTGCTATGAGTCAGAACCATTTTGATGGCACTAAACAATTAAAAGAAGAAGCACCAGTTAATACCACTATTATTATTCAAATTTATGCACCAATAACTAAAGTCAATGATGATCAAACTGATTTTTACCAACTTCTTCAGTCTGAACTTGATCAAACATGCAATCAAGATAAAGTGTTAATTACTGGTGAATGGAATGTCAAAGTTGTAAATAAAGAGGAAGACTTGGTAGTTGGAAAATATGGACTTGGTGATAGAAATGATTCTGGAAATTGCATGACAGAATCTTGCAAGTCTAACAACTTACTCATTCCAAATACCACTCAACAATCGAGGGTAGATGCATGGATCTCACCAGATGGAATACACAAGAATCAAACTGACTATATCTGTGGGAAGAGATGATGGAGAAGCTCAATATCATCAGTCAAACCAAGGCCAGGGGCAGACTGTGGAAAATTGCAATTGATCATATGCAAATTCATGCTGAAGCTGAAAAAAATTAAAGCAAGTCCACAAGAGTGAAAATACAACTTTGAGTGTATCCCACCTGAATTTAGAGACCATCTCAAGAACAGATTTGATGCATTAGACACTAATGATCAAATGACAAGGGGAGATGTGGGATGACATCAAGAATACCATACATGAAGAAAGCAAAAGATAGTTAGACAGGAAAGAAAGAAAAGAGCAAAATGGATGTCAGAAGAAATTCTGCAACTGGCTCTCCAGTGTAAAAATGCTAAAAGTAAATGGGAGAAATGAGGAAGCAAAAGAGCTGAACAGATAATTTCAAAGGGCAGCTAGAGAAGACAAAGTAAAATATTAAAATGAAATGTGCAAAGACCTAGAAGAAAACCAAAATTGAATACAACTTTAAATTGTCCATTCAGCTCTTTTACATCATCATTTCTTTGCTTCTCTATGTTCAAGAGCAGGTTTCAGAATCTCTTCTGACATCCACTTTGGTCTTTTCTTTCTTTCCTTTTTCATGATCATCCATCCCACAGCTGCTCAGGTCTGTAGTCATTATCACCTAATGTAGCAAATCTGTTCTTGAAATGGTCTCTAAGCTCAGGTGAGATAAACTCAAGGTCATATTTCGGCTTGCAATGGATTTAATATTTTTTCAGCTTCAGGATGAACTTGAATATGAGCAATTGATGGTCTGTTCCACAATTGGCCCTGAGCCTTGGTTTGGCTGATGAAATTGAGCTTCTCCATCATCACTTTCTTCCCAGAGATGTATTTAATTTGATTGTTTTTTCTTTTTCCACAGCTGTTGTTGTTTAGTGCAGTCAAGTCCGTTCTGAATCATAGCGACCCTGTATAAGCATCGCCAGTGTCCTAGTTATTTAGGGTTACTGTAGCAGAAATATGAAGGTTAAGTCAAAAAGCACTGCTGCAAGGTCATATACTTCATAAAACAAAAATATCAAAATGTGAAGATACATCCTCCTACGCTTCTGACAGCAGTGTTTCCATCTCTCTAACACTTCCCCAGAGTCCTGGTGTGGTGCTGTAGGATCAGCACTAGACTGCTACCACAAGGTTGGCAGTTCAAACCACCAGCCACTCCTTTGAGTCCCTATACAGAGCTACAGTGAGTCAGAACATGGGTCACTATGAGGTGGACAGAAGAAATGGACCTCACAACATCTCTTCCCCAAATGGTACGTCCAAATGGTAGTTTGGGAATCTTCGAGGGATTCAAACAGTGTTCCTTTTAAATGCTCTTTGAGTTTTAGAAACAAAAAGAAGTCTGAAGTGACAAGATCAAGTCTTTAGGATGAATGAGGTAAGATTTCTCAAAAAAAAAAAATTCTGATAGGACAGCCCTTGAAAGAATGAGCAAGTGTATTGTCGTAATGGAACAAAATTCCTTGGCATAACTTCCCTGGCTTTTTCTCACCAATTTGGTGTTCAATTTTCTTGAAACTTCTTCCTAAAAAGTTCCCATGATCATCCTGTGTCCTCAAGAAAATCTATCAAGATGACAGCTTGGTGTCCCCAAAATAGTCACTATAACCTGAGCTGGCCTGTCTGACGTCAATTTAACTGACCCAGCATATCCCCTCAGAAGCCACTGTTCTGATTGGACTTTTTTTTTTTTTTTTTAAGGTACCTTAATGAGACTAAGACAAGTATTACTGAGAGAATTTCTTTGCAATCCACTGATTGTAGAGACATATTTAAACACGTTTGGAAGAAACCCAGGCATATATTAACTGTAAGTTAGCAGCAGTACTTTTTGACTTACCCTTAAACAAGTGAATGGTTTTAACAAACTTATTTTCTCATAGTTTAGAAGGCTACAAGTGTGAATTCAGGATACTGGTTCTGAGAAAAGACTTTCCTTCTCTCTTGGTTCTAGGGGAAGGTCCTGGCCTCTTTAGTTATGTTTCCTGGGTCCTTGGAGATCTGTATGTGGCATGGCGTCTATCTTCCTCCTCTCTGCCTGATGGCTAGCTTGTTTATATCACAAAAGAGACTGACTTCAAACACAGCCTACATGAATCCTACCTCATTAATATAACAAAGGCAAACTATTCCCAGATGGGATAACCATAGACATTTGTTGTTGTCAGATGCCACTGAATAGTTCCTACTCGTAACAACCCTTTGTACAACAGAAAGCAACACTGTTCAGTTCTGCACTATCGTCACAATAATCGACATGTTGGAGTCCACTCTTGCAGCCAGTATGTCAATCCATCTCTTTGAGTGTACTCCTCTTTTCCACTGACCCCCTTCTTTCCAAGCATGATGTCTTTTTTCCTATGTACTGGTTCCTCCAGATCACATACCCAAAGCACATGAAATGAAGTCTCACCATCTGCACTTCTAAGGAACATTCTGACTTGATGGCACTTAACAACAATGCCTGTGATGTCGACCTGCATGTCTTTCATTTCATTTTTGAGGACTTTCAGATTTTCTAGTTTCACACTTTGCACATTCCATGTTCTGATTAATATATATTTGCAGCTATTTCCTCTCATTTTAACTCATTTCATACCAGCAAACGAAGGTTCTAAAAGTTTTACTCTATTCAGGTTATTAAGAGCAATTCAACTTTGAGGAGGCAGTTCTTCCCTAGTCATATTTTGTGTGCCTTCCAACTTAAGGAATTCACCTACTGGCATTATATCTGACAATGTTCTGCTACTGCTGTTCATAAAGATTTCCATAAGTAGTTCACTAGGTCTATCAGAGGCATTGTTGTAGTTAAGTACCATCGAGTTAGTTCTGACTCATAGTAACCCTGTATAAGCTTTCCAAGAAGAAGCTGGAGGGTTTGAACTGCTGACCGTGTGGCTTATCCTACAGCACCTCGTTAGCACTCCACGAGAGGCATAGAAGATAGGGTTTACCACACATTTTTTTGGGAATACAATTCAATCCATAACAATCATCAGCAGACAACAGCTTTATTTACAGATTACACTCTATTATATATTGGAAGTACTATGAAATTACTTCAAAAACTAAGAAAACTAATAAATAAGTTTAGCAAGGTTGTAAAATGCCAGATTAATTTTTTTTAAATCTATTTTATTCCTATATATCAGCAATCAACAATCTGAACATAAATTAGACAAAACAATTGCATTTGCAATTATTTTTTTTAAAGAATATTAACAAAAGAAGAGCAAGTCCTATACTCTGAAACTATAAAGCACTGCTTATGAAAGGATTAAAGACCTAAATAAATGGAGAAGGGAAGTGCTTCCAAATTAATCTACAGACTTGAAACAATCACTATGAAAATAGTAGCGTGCTTTTTCCCCTAGAAAGTGACAAATTAAACCAAAATTATATATGAAAATCCCAAGACTTAGGATAGACAAAATTGGAAAAATAACGGAGTTGGAGTCCTTACATTTTTTTATTTCAAACCTTACTACAAAGCTACAGAAAACAAGTCATTTCCGACAGGATGGTAGACTACACAGGTGCACTCCACGGACCCTCTACAAAGATACAAAGACTAAATAAAACAGACACAGATGAAAATCCTATCCTGGGGCCCTGAACTCTGGAAGTTTAAAGAAGTGAAGTGAGTGCCTGTAAGCAGGAAAAGCTGAGCAGGGAAAAGCTGCAAGAGTGGGCAACTAACTGGTGAATGGCCGGCCAGACATGGTGTAACCATTTTGTGAACCAGCTTTGGCAACAGAAGGTAGGCTGGCAGAGCAGACTCACACATGCAAGGGGAAAGGAGGCAACCGTGCCCACAGCCCAGCCCAGCCACAACCACACCTACTGCTGCTCCACCCACTAGGCAAAGAGTCAATACCAGTTCCTATACCACTTGATCAATGATAGCAACCAACACCAGTCAAACATACCCCCAAAAGGAGGTGCACCCACAGTGAATGATAACGATGTGCACACTACTTCCATTCTCGAACTATACTCACAGAAGACAAGTGGTGAGAGCCTAAGAACACACAAATATACAATCACCAATTAAATACAAATATGACAAGCCCACAATGCCCCAAAGACAACAGACAGATCACAAGAAGAAATGAAAGAATGGCTCAAACAAATGACCAAGCTGCAGACACAAAAAAAATGTTTCTGAGAAAGAAGTAATGGAACTAAATGGGAAAGGTATTCTGGTACCTTCAACAGACTGATAGAAAGATCCATGAAAGCAAGAAGAGCACAGAGAAAATTTTAGAAGAATTCAGGAAAACATAACAAGAACAAACAGACAAAATAAATGCAAATTTTGGAATAATACAAAACCTGAAATTAGAAATCCAAAAGATTACTACTAAGATTTCAGAAACAGACAGTATGTTGGAAAGGCAAAGAAATACATCTGAAGCAACGGAAGACCGAATTAGTGAGCTTAAAGATAAATCTCGCAATACTACTATGCTAAAAGAACAATCAGAAATAGAGAATGAAAAAATTTGAATAATCTAAGAGCTATGTGGGACACCATGAAGAGGAACAATTTACAGGTGAAGGGAATTCCAGAACAGGAAGCAACCAAAAAAAATAAAAACTGAGAAAACTGTATAAGAGTTGTTGGAAGAAAACTTCCTAAGATCATGAAAAACAAGAAGATAAGCATTCAAGAAGCTGAATGAACACTAAACAGGATAAATGCCAAAAGAAAAGTCACCAAGACATATCATAATCAAACTGTACAAAACCAAAGACAAGGAAAAGAATTCTGAAAGCAACTCAGGAAAAACAAAAAGTCACTTACAAAGGAGAACCAATAAGACTAAACTCATGATTTCTCAGCAGAATCCATGCAGGCAAGAAGCCAATACAATGACATACATAAAACTCTGAAAGAAAAAAAATTGCCAACCAAAAATCATACCCAGCAAAGCCGGCCCTGAAACATGATGGTAAAATAAGTATGTTTCCAGCAGAAATTAAAGGAATTTTTCCTGACTAGATCAACATTACAAAATATGTTAAAGGGTGTTCTTTGGATTGAGAACCAACAACAGCAGACAACAACCTGTGATAACGCAACCCAGAGTTCAATTTAGATATAGAAGTATTAAAAGTAAAACAAACCTGGTGGTGGTGGTGGTGGTGGTTATGTGCCGTGGAGTCGGTTCCGACTCATAGCAACCCTGTACACGGTTTCCGAGGTGGTAAATCTTTACGGGAGCAGAAAGCCTCATCTTTCTCCCACGGAACAGCTGGTAGTTTCAAACTGCTGACCCTGAGATTAGCAGCCCGATTCATAATCACTATGCTACCAGAACTCCTTACCTACAAGACTGAAAATAGGGAACCAGAGATATCAAAGAATAATGAAGTCAACTACAAAGCAAAAAGAGGGAATAGTGTAGATACAGAATTTCCAAAAGGCAAGGAAGTCAAATAGATTTCAAGATACAGCAGACTGTTTTAAACATGGGAAAACATTAATAAATTACAGGGTAACCTCAAAGAAAATGAATAAACCTACACAACAAAATTTAGTCAAAGAGGAAAATCAGAAAGATTTGGTAAACACTATAGAAATGAAATTACAAAGAAAACCCACTCAGTGCAAAAAATTATGTGGAACAAAGAAACCAGAAGCACCACAAAACAACACATAGTAAAATGACAGCAATCAATTCATACCTACTGATAATTAAACAATATAAATGGATTAAATACACCAATTAAGAGATCTAGCAGAGTGGATAAGAACACAGGATCTCCACAAGAGATACATCAAAAAGATGGAGACGGCCAAAATGCCCGTCAACAAAAGAATGGTTACACAAACTTTGGTACACATATAATGGAATACTTTGCAATGCTGAAGAATAATGATGAATCTAAAAAATACCTTACAACATGGATGAACCTGGATGACATTATGCTGAGTAAAATTAGTCAATCACAAAAGGACACACATTGTATGAGACCAATGGCATTCTATGATGGCTGGGGGGCAAGGGGGATAGGGAATTACTCAGACTAGAGGGTAGATACATGTCAACCTGGGTAATGGGGCAGGCAATATACAACCAGAGGAAGGTTGGAAGAGGTAAGATGAAGGTAGCAGGAGACACAGAGACTAGTGCAAGAGTTAAAGGAAACAGAGTCGTGGCCCGGAGATGCTTCTGGAAGAACCATCGTGATGGCCACCCAAGGTGAACCCCAAGTGCAGTTCAAACTCATATTGGTGGGTGATGGTGGTACTGGAAAAACTACATTTGTGAAATGTCACCTGACTGGTGAATTTGAGAAGATGTATGTAGCCACCCTGAGGGTGGAGGTCCATCCCCTTGTGTTCCATACTAACAGAGGACCGATTAAATTCAATGTGTAAAGACATGGCTGATCAGGAGAAATTTGGGGGACTGAGAGATGGCTATTATATCCAAGCCCAGTGTACCATTATAATGTTTGATGTAACCTCAAGAGTTACTTACAAGAACTTGCCTAACTAACATAGGGATGTGGTTCGAGTATGTGAAAACATCCCATTGTGTTGTGTGGCAACAAAGTGGACATTAAGGACAGGAAAGTTAACGCAAAATCCATCGTCCTCCACCGAAAGAAGACACTTCAGTACTATGACATTATCCGCAATAAGTAACAACTTTGAAAAGCCCTTCCCTTGGTTTGCTAGAAAACTAATTGGCGATCCTAACTTGGAGTTTGTTGCAATGCCTGCTCTCACCCCACCAGAAGTTGTCATGGACCCAGCTTTGGCAGCACAATATGAGCATCATTTAGAGGATGCGCAGACAACTGCTCTCCCAGACCAGGATGATGATCTGTAAGAGAACGAAGCTGGAGCCCAGCGTCAGAAGCCTAGTTTTATAGGCAACTGTCCTGTGATGTCAGTGGTGTAGTGGGTTTGCCACTTTATTATATAGCTAAGCAGAACATGTGCTAATCTTTAGGATGCTGAAGGAGATGAATGGGCTTCGGAGTGAATGTGGCAGTTAAAAATACCTTCATTTTTTTGGACCTGCATATCTAGCTGTTGGAACGCAGTTGTTTCCTTTTTGAGTTTCAAACATACGACTGCTATAGTCGGAGTCCTGGTGTGGTGCTGTGGGTTAATGTGCCAGACTGCCAAGCTGTTTGAACTGCCAGGTTGGTGGTTCAAGCTCACTGGCTGCTCCTCGGAAACCTTATACAGGGTCGCTATGGGTTGGACCCAACTCGATGGCACATAACAACAACACAGTCATATCACACTATTCAGGGGTGAAATCTTGTTTGTTATTGTCATTCCCATACCTTACTGTTTAGAACCAGAATAAAGTTGTATTTCAAATATCTAAAAAAAAAAAAAAGTTAAAGGAAACAAAGGTAACACTGCTAACTGATGATACACGGAGTGGATTGCAATCATTGAAATAAAGCAATGTGTATGATTTATTGAAGGTAAAACTGGTATGCTCTGTAAAACTTCACTCAATTTATAATAAAAAGTGTTTAAAAAAAAAATGGCTACATAGCACTGCAGTGGGGAGACCAGTGTATTAGACATAACCCGTTTCAGGGTAGACTAGATATGTCTTGTCTGGCTTACAGTTTCCTGTCTGAATTGAAAGGTTTAGAGTCCAACCGCTCAAGTGCTAATTTTAAGGATCTTTGATCTGTGTTTTACTAATGAACAATCAGGAGGTGAAATACATGCCACATGCTGTGTATTCGTATCATTTCGTACCACTTTGTTAGAGATGAAACTAAATTATCCTGTCAAGATACATTCAATGCTTCAATTCCATGGTCAAAATTAAATAGAAACGAAAAAAGAATCTTTAGAAACCTGAAACTTGACCTTAATATTCTAAAAATTCAACACTTTATCACATAACACATTCACATTGACACAATAGACAAACCCCAGGCTTACCTGCCAGGAAACTGCTCCCAAAATTGCTGTTGCAAGAAGACTAAAGAAAACTAGCTGCTCAGAAATTAAGCAAAAATGACGCATCCCTTTAGACGCCATGATTCTGTCAAGGCTATTGTTATCTGCTCTGTGGGTAAAATACACTTTATGGCAGTCATTTAATTTGGTATGGAATCCCCAAAGAGTTAAAAGAAAAATAATATGGCAAATCATCCAGAAAATTCCAAAAATAGAAAAGCCTGGTATGACAAAATACCAGAGATGAGTGTCTCTAAGTTTAAATGCTGACAGAATAAAAAACGTGAGCTCAATCATTCCAGTAAAAACGACTGAAAGTCTTCTGCAAATTCTTCCACGGTACAAAAAGGGTTTCCACCTTTCAGTTACCGAAAGTCCACTAAAATAGATGTCAAGGAAAGGGTCCGTTATCAGACAAATAAAAAAACATGCAAAAGCAACTGGATTTTTGGGAGTTTCCAATGAGGAGAAAAACAACAAAACCCCAAAAATAACTAAGTTTGGAATGGCTAGGAAAGACTTCATTCTCAGGTCAATAATCAGCATGGCCAAAGCTACAACAAGCAAAATGACACTCAGAGACTTTTCCACCAGCATCGTTGTACTGGCAATAGCAAAGCCAACAAGCTCCAGAAACTCCACTGTGGTAAGTAAAGTGGGTCGATGACGGACATAACCAGAAATTCTCTCCACCAAAGAACATAACAGCCTTAATACTATGGAAGTTAGAAGCAAATATTTGGTGGATTCTTCTTTGACATCATTTCTGAAGGATGAATTATCAAGAAAACACAGGAGGCCGAGCAAGAATCCAAACCAAAGATTGGAGAGACTTAAACTTGCTGCTTCCATTGAAAAATAATAATAGAGTATGCTGGCAATTCCAAGAACAAAAAGACCAAGGATAAAAATGACCAAAATTAAGGAATTTGCTGTTTTTTCCCATCTTACATAAAGACCTAAGCATATAGCAACCAGTAAATTGATTCTGGCTAAATAGCCAAGGTACCGCACTGAAGAATGCATGTTCACTTCTCTATTTACTTCTTCCAGTCTTGTCATTGCTAAATAGAGACAATGACTAAAGCAGTAACGCAGTGATTTACACATGTAATCTGGCAAGCTGGGTTTTCTCCCCACGTTACAAAAATTAACTGCTTGTATTTCATCCAGCCAATACAATGTCGCCACAGCTCTTATTTCAACATCTTCTCAGGTGGAATTTTTGTAATCATCTAAAAAGAAAGAAAGAAAAAAAGAAACCATATTTCAGTGTGAATTTTATATCATTTATCTCTCATATGCTTCTTCCTTGTATAACAAGTAGGTGAAAAATACAGTTTCTTTAAAAACCCACTTAAAAAATCTGTATTTCAGCAAGGATCATTCCCACCCCCTCAATACACAGGGTAGACAGGGATGGGCAACTTGGACATTGGCTACCCAAAATGGGGGCGAGGGGGAGGAGGAGAGGCTACAAAGACAAGAAGTGACTGGCTTACAAGCTTTCAAGAGGGAGCCTAGATCCAGAGGGCATGGAGGAAGGTAGAATCTCCACTGAGTAGTATCCAATCTGTCTAGGCGGGGCTGATGAAAGGAGATGTGGATAGGTCTCTTGTGATACAATAGTGAATAATTGTTATCAAGACTGATTGTGAGGGTTGGAATTGTAAAGGTAGACATTTTGTAGCAAAAGGAGAGGTTTGGTTGACTTTGCAGTCTAGGAGCGGAGGTCCCTGGGACCATCAAGGGAGAAGAGGGGAGTGCGGGATGCTACTCAGAGTAACAGTGACACCAGAGATGGAGGCAGAGACAATGACTTTGAGAGATGGAGCGGCTGGGGACTCTCGACCCAGAGAGGGAGAGGGGCTATGTGATGATGACCGGAAGGGGGGCAGGCTTGCAGGGTATAACCTTTGGTTGGTTGATGATGCATGGAGGGGATCGTGACCATGGCAGTGAAACGATATGCGATAGAATGAATGTAAAGCTAATATTCTCCTGTGTAAACTATCACATAATTCACAATCAAAAATCTGTATTTGCATGTATCTTAATGGTAATTGGCTCTGGCTTAATAACTTGGTGGTTTATCCACACAAAATGGCTGTGCTTTCTATTCTTTCTATACAAAGACTGCATGATGAAACTACCATCAATGGAATCATTCTTCTAGACATGAGCTCTGGTAGCGTAGTGGTTATGAATCCAGCTGCTAATCTCAAGGTCAGCAGCAGGAAACTACCAGCAGTTCTGTGGGAGAAAGATGAGGCTTTCTGCTCCCATATACATAGCCTCAGATCCCCTATGCAGGGTCACTATGAGTCATAACCGACTCCACCCCACGCACATAACTACCACCATTCTTAGTTTAATATGTGGCTTTCTCCCATTCTCTGTATTATTCAAATCTGTCTTCCCTCTCCTCAACCCTTACCCCTACTTCCCACTGCATTGTCAACAAATGACTGCCTCCTGCTTAGTATCAGAAGGGACTTCACTTGAACTTTCAACATTACAAACCCACCTCTACCAACAGCTCCTGGCACAAGGAAAGAAGGGTATTCTTTGCCTACCAACCAGGAAATCTTCTGCTCATACTGTATACCTCCTTCCCTTCTGCCTCTTCAGAATCTTTCTCTTCTTTCTCTTCAAACTCTCACTCTTCTCTAATTGTTCTCCATCAGCACATAAACATTCATAAATCTCTTCTTTGAAACGATCCAAAGAAGAAAAAAGCCAAGCCCAGAAACAAGCACACTTCCTCATCCCCACCTCTTCTTCTAGGTTCAATCTTCCTCTTCACAACGAATTGGCTGTTTCACTTCTCACCCACTCACTTCTCAAATCACTAACGGGTGGTTCTCACCGCAGGAAGGTAAACTGCTCTACCAAGAAGGTCTGAAATCACCTGTATACTCTTATATTCAATAGGCACTTTTTACTTCATTTCCTGCTCATTCTTTAAACAATCACTGACAATGCTTCCTCCTCCCACTTTCCTTTACCTTGGTTTCTAAAAATCAGTCTTGAAACTTTTTTTTCAACTCACTGGTCTCGCTAAGTTTCCTTGTAGACTCTCCATTCTTAACCCATTTTTAGGTGTTTAATACTAAGCCCCCTGGTAGCGTAGTGGTTACGAGTTGGGCTGCCAACCTCAAGGTCAGCAGTTCAAAACTACCAGCGAACCAGTTCCGCAGGAGAAAGATGAGGCGTTCTGCTCCTGTAAAGATTTACAGCCTCGGAAACCCTGTGCAGGGTCACAATGAGTCGGAGCCTACTCTACTGTACTTAACAACAACAACTAAGCCCTGGTGTGACGCTGTGGTTTAATGCAAAGTCATTTGAACTGCAAGGTCAGTGGTTCAAGCTCACCTGCTGATCCTTGGAAACCCTATACAAGGCCGCTAAGGGTTGGAATAGACTACACGACACTTAACAACAACTAAGCCCAGGTTCTTAGCTCACTACATACTTTCTCTGAGCAGTATCATGTATTTCCATGTCTATTACTACTACTCTATTAACATATTTCTTCAGTCGTGGTGTGGCGCTATAGGATAAGCACTGGACTACTAACTGCAAGGTCGGCAGTTCACACCCAACAGCCACTCCCTGGAAAGCCTACACAGGGCCATTAAGAGTCAGAACCGACTTAACAGCACTTAACACCACCTATGTATACACATTATCAATCTACCCAAGAGAAATACAGACAACAGCTCTGTTCTGCACTCTACATATAGGTCAGAACTTGGAAACAAAGTAAATACAAACAAGCAAATTTAGTTAAGTATGGTACATTTATATCATGGAATGTATGCAGCTACCATTTAATGGGTCAAAAACAACATGGAAAGTAATTATTTTTTAATGACTAATTTACAGAAGTCTTCCCTACTCTGAACTGTTTAAAAGACAAACAGAATGAATCAAGAGACTAAAATAAGCACTGAAGTCCCTTTCAACTGATCTGCCACCACTTAGGATTCTTTAGTGGGCAATTACTCAAGAGGCAGAGTAAAATGTGGCGCTGCAGGATAAGGCACTGGACTGCAAGGTCAGGCTGAACCAAAAGGATGGCAGTTCAACCCACTAGCCTCTCCTCGGTTGGAACCAACTTGATGGCATTTAAAACAACATACAGAGCATGGAGTCCTGGTGTGGTGCTGTAGGATAAGCACTGGAATGCCAACCATAAGGTACCGGTGGTTCAACCCCTGAGCCATTCCTCAGACACATAAGATCGCTCTGAGTCTGAATCAACTTGATGGCACTTACAAACATATCGTTGTCATTATGTGCAGTCAAGTCGGTTCTGACCCATAGTAACCCTGTATAGGGTTTCTAAGGACCAGCTGGTGAGCTTGAACTGCCGACCTCGCTGTTTAAACGGCTTTGCAGTCTGGTGCATTAACCAAGTGCCACACCAGAACTCCTACCAACATATAGAGAGTAAAAATGTGTGCATAGAGAGCACAGAAGAGTAAACCTACATTCAGGGAAAGTTAATAAAACTTCATATGCTGCTCTAACCCTCCTCCATGCACTCCTCAAACCTTATCCATTCTTCTACACCTTCCATGTTTCTACTTCTCTCCATCCACATGGTCATCATCATAGTTTCAACCACCATCTCAAAGTTAACGTCTCTCTACAACCACTCGTGTTCTTCCCTAAGTATTCTTTTTAAAAACCAAAAGTGGCATGTCACTGCAATGTAGAGCTCTCCAATGATTTCCCTTTGCAATCAAGTCAAAACCCTTTAAGTGCTTTATAAGGCCCTCTTCTTTGAACCTAAGTCTCCTGCCTCATCTCTTAGTATTCTTCTTTCACATTTTGTATTCCAGCCATACTGGTCTGGAGTTCTGAACTGTTAAAACACCATTTCCTCTCTAGGTAAACCCCTTTCCAATCACCCCATCCCAGCCCAGTCCTCACTACCGGCTTACTTACTCTTCAGGTCTCAGCAGAAACTACTGCCTTAGCAGTCTCCCCTGAGCTCGATATTTCCTCTGTAAAAGCAAAAATGTTCATCACCTGTTCAATGTTTGCACTCCCCACCAGACCACAAGGTCTTTCTGAGGGTCTGTTTTCAATATTGTAAGCCTAGTATCTAGCAGAAAACTGGAACAAAGTAGGCATTCAACTCATATTAGAAGAAATACACGACTAATACAGAAACTATTATTTGATATGGGTTATCAGTTATTGAACAACACTGTACAATGAGGAAAAAGAACTCATCTGACATCCCACAGTTAATATGCAGTCAAGTTAAGGGAGAATCCATGAGCCAGACAGAGGTCGCTGTTTGTGTTCCAACCTTACTCCAGCCTTCAGAGCTGAAGCTTCACCCGAATTCCTCCAAACCAGTCCGTTCTCATTCCATGACCTTTCTCTAGGGAATGTCCAAGACAAACCCTATCATTTGCATTATCTTTCCACGAAAACGATTTCTGTCACATCTAAGGGAAGTGACAATAGCTGAAAGAGACTGAGAAGCCAGGCTGGGGGAATTCCAGTGCTTCAGTTCTATTTCAGTTCAAGGGAGTATCTCCTGGGACCTTCTGAGAATGGAACCACGACTATTAAAGCTCTCAGCAATAGGGCAGCAATAGCAATAGTTTTTTTTCCCATCCTGCCTCCTTGTAGGGATTTGTTAAGTGCAGTCGAGTCGGTTCCCACTCATAGCGACCCTATATACACAACAGAACGAAATACTGTCGGGTCCTTGTAGGGACTTATTAAGTGACGTCGAGTGGATTCTCCTGCCTAGGGTTTTCGAGGAGTGTCTGGTGGGTTTGAACCCCTGACCTTGTGGGTAAGCAGCCCACAAGAACTTATCCTACAGCATCACGCTAGAACTCCAGGGATATGTGGGAGGCACAAAATACTGCCTGGCTGTCCTCGACCACCCCTGTACTACGGGAGAAAGCAACCATAGTGGAGCGCCCAGCTGCAGGGAGCCATTGGAAAGGCGTCCTCCGTCCTACATCCTCCACACCCCATGGACCACTCCTCTCCGGGCTGAGGTTTGCCCACCCCGCCCCCCCGGGAGATGGGCTGGGCGGAGCCTGGGGTCCGAACCACACGGAGCCCTGGGAGGTGTCTGTGCCGGGCCTCACCGCCGGGTTGTAAACCCCAACGCTTCCCTACCTGACTCGGTCGCCGCCACCAACGCCTTTTCAACCCTCGGAGTTTATTCCGGTACCAACTCAGCAAAAGG